TTTTTGAAAATCTCACAACCAAAAAGCACAAGCTGCGTTCCAAGAACGCCGAATAATTCATCTTCAGACAAACCTTTACTTTGGCTCTAACTGCCATTACGCAACAACCTAGGTGAAGCCATGAAGGACAATGTGTTGGAATCCGTACGATCGACGGTTTTTAAGCAATCCGATTCGCTTGACGGATCGTGCACGAAAATTGAGGGATACGATTTCAACAGGGGAGTGGACTATCACGAGGTTCTCAAGTCCATGGCGTCCACTGGATTCCAGGCCTCCAATCTTGGTGATGCCATTCAACTCGTTAATGAAATGGTTAGTATTTTCTTTTTTGAACTATTTTAGTTCATTCTATTTGTGTCCACTTTTACATAATTAGTTGTTTAGAAATTATAATTGGATTTTAGGAGTATGAATTGACGCAATTTTGAAATGGATTGTTTCATTCTTGAAGACCCAAAAAGTTGTTTTCTTTGGGGCTTTACTGGGTTTGAAAATAGTAGAATGAAATGTTAAATTCAATATCAAAATGCCATATTTTTCAGGATTATAAATTTTTCTCTGCGAATTCTGGAGTATGTTTTCCTTGAATATCAAGTTTATGGAATTCAAAGTATGTTCTGGACTTAACTATTCTGGATTTATCTTGGTTGAAGCTAGATTGGAGGCTTTCGGATGAGAATCATACAGAAGAATGCAGTGAAGAGGAGAGAGACCCAACTTACAGAAAGTCTGTCAAATGCAAAGTGTTTCTCGGTTTCACATCAAATCTGATTTCTTCAGGAGTCAGAGACATAATCCGGTATCTTGTTCAGCATAGCATGGTGAGTGATATGTGCAACATTAGTTTTCAGATGATGTTTACCCTATATGTTTGGTGGAATGTTTGAAAACTGATTTCAACTTCAATTGTCATATTAACCATTTGTTCCTATTATGTTTAAAATAAACACTGATATGGGTTGTACGTTGGACTTGCAATAGAAATTCAGAAACTGGAATGTGATGGTGCAAATGATAAGAAAAATAACAGTCTATGTCTCACTGAACAGGTTTCGTGTTTTATTGTTTTTGCAGTAGTAGAGAGCTCCCTATTACTGTAGACTTGCATCAAGGTGCTGCCCAAAGTTCTTATATTTTGCTCGAGTCATAGATGAGTTTACGGGACATACTCAAGATGAGGTTCCTTGGTGTATGTTAATCGCTAATGGAATATTATTTAGTTTCTAGACAAGAAAGGAATTAGATAAGATAAAAATTTAGGAGATTACTTTGGAATATGAAGATTGTTGGGTAGAACCATGTCGCATAATATGCAATACCATTTTAGTGATAGTAGGACTAACAATAATTATGGCGTTATGATAGAAGATTATGTTGTCCCAAGAGCCAAGTTAGGATATTTATGGTGCTGTTGGGTCAAAGTCAAATGGAGTCAACTTCCTTTATAAAGCGATTGTTTTTGGTATTTAGGTTTGATTAATAAAGAAGGACAAAATAAAGACGATGTTATACATAGGATTAGAGCAAGTTGGATGAAATAAAGAAGTGTTGCTGTTGCATGAATTCTAAGTAACTGAAAGATCCTTAAGGTAAAAAAGCTAGTTTTAAACAAAATAGATTAGTGACTAGACATGCTATGCTTTATGGTACTCAATATTGGGTTATTAAAGGACAAGGTATCTATGACGTAAATGTAGCAGCAACAAAATGTTAAGATGAATGTGCGGACTCATTAGAACGAATAAGATTATAAATTCAGAATATTAGCCAATGGGTAGAGGCGAGACACATTTTTGAGGATAATTAAGGAGAGAACAACTTAAATGGTCGGGGCATGCCTCGTAGATCGAAAGAGGCTCACTATCATAATAGTGATGGAATCTTAGCAGAAAAGGTAGAAAGCTGGATGATTGGACCAAAACTAACACGTGTTTGTTCTGGTAGTTGAGGATCTAGTTCTGCTGAAGCAATAAGCACTATGGAGTAGCGTAATAGGATTCATGTAGTTGATTCAAACTATGACTTAGTTGGCTCATCATTTTATCCATCTCTGACATTTGTAGAAATTAGTCAATTTATCTATGGTTTTTTCTATTTCATGAGATTCATTAATGACTAATTTATTTCTTCTAAAAGTTGATCCCAAAATATTAAATAATCTATTTTCTCCAGATGGTTTAAGATTTAATTTCGCTCCATTAATTTTTCTAAATTTTTCCCAATTGAATTTTCCTTTTAAAGTATATCCTTCTATCCTCTCGTATAATTCAGTTTCTAAATCCTCAAAATTTTCAATTTCCATCTTTAGTACTCTAATTCCTTAGAATTTTAATATAGTGCTCCTATGCCATTTTGTGGGGGGTTTTCAATAAAACAAAAATACAATTTTAATAGTAAACAAAATCTTCAAATTATTGGGCTTAATAGGTGGACAGAGTTAATTTTTTGATTCCAAAGGGAAAGCAATTTGTTGAATTTTAGATTAAAATCAAAGTTTGTTTTAGGTAGTTTATAATGGTCGAATAGTCTTTTGGAAGGGGTAGGCTTTAATTTTGGGAATTTTCAATAATTTCCCGGCTTTCTGGGTCCTGTTTTCTCCTTCGGCCTTCTGCAAAATCCTCCATTTGAAGAACCATTTTGCAAAAAACCCTCCAGCCTGCATTTCCACTGCCTGCGATTCATCCTTGTTCGCTTCAGGCTCTTGCGATTCAGCCTTGTTCAATTCAGCTGGGTCCGTTCCTGCCGCCATTCCGCCCACCGCCAGACCAGTCCGTCCAAAGCCAAAGGTCAATTTTGCTTTACTGGGCTTTGCCTAAAGTTCAATCACTATCGCCAGACCAGTCCGTCCAAAGCCAAAGGGCAATTTTGCTTTACTGGGCGTTGCCTAAAGTTCAATCACTATCTGATTCTGGGATTTCAATTTCGAAATATATTTGTTATACTTATTTGTGATTTTTGATTGGCGATGGATGTGATTTGTGAACTTTATTTTGGGAACTTCATCAAAAATTCAAAATAGAGGCAGCATTACTAGGCAATTGTGAAATCTTTATGATAAATTTTTTAGCACTTTTACTGATAGAAGAATCATTTTTTCACTTGAATTGCTTGAGCCAAACTTTCCAGACTCTTGTTTACCTCTTTGTGTTAGCTCCTTTAACTGGCTTTTACCTGACTACAGTGAGTCTATTTACTGATACAAATGGTTAACCTGTTCTGTTAATGCATCAATTTCAGTGGACGCTTCATTCTGCACATCCCATTTTGTTTTCTCGACAGAAATGACTTCATCGACTCTCTCTTTTAGTGTGTTCTCCAATTCCGAAATATTTCTTTCCGGAACCTTCTCTTCTTCCAGTATTCTTTGTCCATCAATAGTTTTGCTTGATAATTCCCCTTCTAGCCTTTCTATCTGAATAAGAAATTCTGATATTTCTCCACTTCTTCATAAGAATGGAATCTCCTTCACTTTTCTGTGCTCTCAAAAGACCCAATTGCTCTTGGAAATTTCTTATATCCGCAATCAAAGCCATGATTTGAGCAGACGCTTCACTCTCTATCTTCAGATTGCTTCTGTACGGTGGAGAGTTCATCCTCTTTCTCCTTTAATTCCCTATCCATCTCTGAAGTTTGAACTTGCAGGCTTTCTGTTTCCTGTTGCAACTGAAGAAATCCTCGCTTTTGCTTTTCAGCTGCTCTTCTAATTCATTTTTCAGGTTGCTTAAAGAGTTGAGCTTCAGTTCCAAGTCTTTTATTCGCGACATAAAATTATCTCTCTTTCAGTAGTTTCTGTTGCTCCACAGTTTTGTATCTGACAAAATGATGTAATTATGGAACGTTATTAAAGTATGAAAACATGTAGAGAACAATTGTAATAAAATATTGAATGCTTAATTTTTTTCACAACTTTTTTGCAAGTTTGATCGCGCCCCTTGACTCAAAATGTCTGCTTCCACCACTGGGTAGAAGTTCAGTGACTAGTGAAACATGGTTGGTAGGTGAGTGATGGAGTGCAATGTGTTAAATTTTAGTGACCACTTAGATGCATTTTAAAGTTGAGTGATTTATAAAACATGTGAGTGAGTAATAGAGTTCAATGTGTAAAAATTTAGTGATTGTTCTGATGTATTTTAAAATTTAGTGACTAAAATGTAATGGAAATATAAGTTCAGCGACTAATGAAATATTTAACTCTAAAATATGTAATTGAAATAAATTTTAAAAAATAAAAATAAAAAAAGGGATGAAACAGGGTCCAAGTCAAATTAATACAAAGAATTAAGGAGGATGTGGAAATCTGCACGTTACAACAAAGGGTTTAAGAAAAAAATTCACCAACCAAAAAGCATAAACTGCGTTTGAAGAATGCCAACAATTTCATTTTTCAAGCAAACCTCCATTTTCCCCTAACTGTTATTCGTCAAATACCAGATAGAAGCCATGAAGGACAATCTCTTGGACTCCGTACGATCCACGGTGTTCAAACAGTCTGATTCGCTTGATGGAATTTGCACGACAATCGAGGGCTACGATTTCAACAAGGGAGTGGACTATCATGAGGTTCTCAAGTCCATGGTGTCCACTGGCTTCCAGGCCTCCAATCTTGGTGATGCCATTCAACTCGTTAATGAAATGGTAAGTACTTTCTTGTTTGAACTATTTTAGTTCATTTAATTTGTGTATACTTTTACACAATCAGTTATTTAGTAATTATAATGGGATTTTGGGAGTATGAGTTGACGCGCCTTGAAATGGATTTTTTTTCTTTCTTGAAGACCCGAAAAGTTTGTTTTCTTTTGGGGGCTTTTCTGGGTTTGAAGATAGAATGAAAGGTTAAAATACCATAGTTTTTAAGGATTTTAAATTTTACTTTGTGAATTTTGGAGTATGTTTTGCCCTGAATATTATAAGTTTATGGAATTTAAAGTATGTACCTTTCAAAAAAAAAAATTAATTTTTTTTTTTATGGAATTTAAAGTATGCTTATGACTAATTATCATGGATTTATTGTGGTTGAAGCTAGATTGGAGGCTTTCAGATGAGAATCTGACAGAAGAATGCTGTGAAGAGGAGAGAGACCCAGCTTACAGAAAGTCTGTCAAGTGCAAAGTGTTTCTTGGTTTCACTTCCAATCTGATTTCTTCAGGTGTCCGAGACATAATCCGGTATCTTGTTCAGCATCGCATGGTGAGTGATATGTGCAATATTAGTATTCAATTCATATTTTAATTTACATGTTTTGTGGAATGGTTGAAAACTAATTTCAACTTCAATTGTGATATTTACCATTTGTTCCTATTGTGTTTAAGATAAACAATATGGGTTGTATGTCGGATTTTCTATAGAAATTTAGAAACTGGAATTGTGATGGTGCACATGATAAGAAAAAAACAAAATTTTATGTCTCATTGAACAAGTTTTGTGTTATTTTTTTGGCCCCTATCAAATAGAAGTGCATCGAGGTTTTGCCTTAAGTGCTTATCTGTTCGCTTGAGTCGTGGACGAGTCTATGGGGCCTACTCGAGATGAGATCAGGGTCCTTATTGTATGTTATTCGCGAATGAAATATTTTCAATTGATTATATAAAGAATAAGGGTTAAATCATAAGATAAAACTTTGGGAGAATATGCTGGAATATGAGGTTGTAGGTTATGTAGAACCAAGACACATAATATGCGATACCAGTATGAGTTTGTAGGTTAAGTAGGACCAAGACACAAAATATGCAATACCATTTCAGTGATAGGACCTAGCTATAATAATTGAGTTACGATAAATGATCATGTTGTCCAAGAAACAAGTGAGGATCTCCTACGGTGCTGTTGGGTCAAAGTGAATGGAGTCAACTTCCTCTTGAAGTGATTGTTTTGGGTATATATGTTTGATTATTAATAAAGGACGAATTGAAGAGAATGTATTGCATAGGATTAAAAGTAGACTGGAAGAAATAAAGTAGTGTGCTGTTGCTGTTGCTGTTGCTGTTGCACGAATTCCATGTAATAGAAAGATCCTTAAGGTTGAAAAGCTTGTTGTACAGAGTACTGACTAGACTTGTTATGCTCTATGGTACTGAACACTGGGTAGTTAAAGGACAAGGTATCTATAGATAATTTTAGCGTAAATGAAAATGCTAAGATGCATGCTCTATCATATTAAAATGAATGAGATATAAATTGAGAATATTGGCCGACAGGTAGAGGTGGTACCTGTCTTTGAATATGAATTAGGGGGAACAACTTTTGGTCGAGACATGTCTTAAATGGATCGAAAGAGGTTACTGTTCATAAGAGTGATGCAATCTCAATAGAAAAGGTTAAAAGCGGGATCGTTTGGACCGAAATTAACATGGGTTTGTTGTAGTTGACTGGTTGTTAAGGATATAGTTTTTATGAAGATTCCAGTATATATAGTAATAATCACTAAGGAGTGGCGAAATAGGTTCCATGTAGTCAATTCAGCTTAAGACTTTGTTTGTTGTCGTTATTTTATCCATCCCTAACATTCGTAGAAATTACTAATAATTTTTTTGATTATTTTTGTGGACCGATGATTAGTAAGACGCATCACACATTGTAAGAATTCAGATTCAATCTGCATCATTCTGGAATTAAGATGCCACATTTAAGTGATGGATCATTGTAAAATTTTGCTTTTCTCTTCAGGTTGACGTAGTGGTAACGACAGCAGGTGGTGTGGAAGAGGACCTTGTAAAATGCCTTGCTCCCACATACAAAGGTGAATTTTCTCTTCCCGGAGCTGTTCTACGTTCAAAAGGATTGAACCGCATTGGTAACTTGTTGGTTCCTAATGACAACTACTGCAAATTTGAGGACTGGATCATTCCAATTTTCGACCAGATGTTTGATGAACAAACTTCGAAGGTATTTCTTTTTCGAATTCTGATTGTCTGTGGCATAGTCTTGGTCTGTGCATCATTCGGAACTGTCTTCTGTAACTCTTTGCAAATTTTCACTATTAGACAAACTTTGTTGATTGGATCCTCAATTGAGTGAAGTGAACAAGATAATTGTAGGCAGCAATAAGTTGGCTGGACTTTCTTGAATTGCGTTTACTTCTATTTTAGCATTGATTTTATTGTCAACTATGCTAGCATGCGTACAGAATTAGATTTGTATTTATATTTGACATAATGATCCTCTATGCTTATAACTATTTATCTCGGCCTGTTTTTGTATTATAGATTAAAAAAAGTTGAAAATATATTCAACTTTATGGTTAAGGAGTCATTCTGCCATAGGTTATTGCATTTTGCAAACATTTTGGAAAAAACGAAATAATAAAAGCAACACCGTGATGTAATTAAAGGCAAGTTTGGCTTCCATAGATAAATAGTTTCTAATTTAGAGAAGGAAAATGAGTAGTGCCTGGATTCACCACGGAATATGGGTTATTGGAAAACAAATTAAGTCAAGTTTTGGATATTTTACAAAGTGGACGATTTAGTCTCTCTTTGTGCATATGCATGCTTTCTTGGATGGATTGTATCAATTTCTTTTTCCTCATTTCCATACTTCTGTGTTTTCTAAATATAGATCTTGACAGTATAATAAGTAATATTACAATTTACATTTTCCTTTCTAACCTGTTCTCCTTTCGATGCTCTACTTAGACTGTATTTTTCACTTCTCATTTTTTTTTTTTTTTTTTTTTTTTTTTTTCATTTGAAACTCAATCATGCTCAGTTGGTAGAAAGCGTGTTCTAATTTTATCCCTATTTTCCAATTCCCAGAATACACTGTGGACGCCATCTAAAGTGATTTCTCGATTGGGGAAAGAGATCAACAATGAGAGTTCATACTTGTACTGGGCATACAAGGTATGTTTCTAAGGAAAAGTTATTTGAATTTTCTACTAAAGCTTTCTGATAAGATATTATTTAAAATAAATAACCATTTATTCTTTGATGCCATTCTTGTGGTTCCATCCCAGGTTTATAATATTGCTTTCAGTTAATCATAATGTAAAAAATTATTTAATTTTTCCATTTCTTGTTTATGAGCTGTTTAACCTAAAAGCATGTTTTAGAAATGTCTATAAATGGTTTAAATTCTAAATAGATAAAGATGAGTGGTGGATAAGTGGATAGTACTTATGGATCCCTCAAAATGTGTGGATAAAAAGTGACTTGAGTTATAAACTGTCTATAAACATGAGCCCACATAGGCTAAGAATTTCCTGTAATTATTTCTTTTCTTATTTGGACCTCTTGTAAGGCTCATGTATGCTAAGTCACTGGATGTTGTATAAGTCCTCAAAATAAATTTTGCTCATGTATATGTACTGCTTTCATATCACTCTCTTGAAGCTAATTATAGGCTTAGGTTAACAATGTATACTTTGAAGGAATTAAATATGCTTTAAGTAGCCTCACAACTATTAGCCACCACGAAGTAAATCTGAACTCTCTTAAACTTCTGTACACAAGCTTACATGTGATTCAGATCATTGATCTTTACCATCTTTGCATTTAATTTTACAGGCCATCCGAATGACATTTCCCAAGTGTATTTTATAGTTCGTAGAAACAATAAAAATACATAAGCTCTGAGTCTAGTCTTTTAGAACACGTTTATCCATTTTGTCTTCAGCAAAAGATGAAGCTGAATTAAGCCTTTAAATACCAGTCTCATTTTCTCTTCTTCCACCTTGATAATTGTTTACTATCAAGCAAAAGTTAGAAGAATAACAATTTCAATTAAATGTCATAAATACTTAAAGGAGGCAAATGCTCAAAAGCGGCTTTTGCTAGTAATTTAGCTAGCACTAGTCTTTTTTTTTTTTTTTGAAGTGCTTCCATGCATAACTATTGATGAATAGAGCATTTTGCAAAGGAATTGCGTCTTGGTTGCTTGTGCGTGTTACATGATCTGCATCCCTTAAAATTTGTTAGGGCTTGGTTATCAAGGATATTTTATGTGTTGGGTTATTGTATCTATTTCTAAACCATGTTTGTACTAAGTTAACATAAAAAATGACAATATATGCCAACATGTGGAGAAAATGCCTATTGAGCATACATTAAGGTAATGGGGACTTAAGTGTGCCTTATTACAATCAACAAGCCTCTTTATATATGTTCTAAATGACGACTAAGGAAAATTAGGATTTCCTTTTACGAAATCAATCTACCAAAGTCAATCAAATGCTAATGGAAAATACTATTCTAACACCATATTTGATATCCATTCTTCTAAAAATACATTTTCTCTCTTATTTTCAATCACACATTTTTCAATAAAATAATATTATACGTAAATCCAAAATTTTTTCTTATTTTTTAACCACATATTTTTCATCAAATCACTATTTAAAATGCATTCTTGAGAGAATAATGTGCATAAAACAGGCCCTAAATGATTTTAATTCTTTTAAGCCTAAAATAGACTTTCCAATTTGCATAATTCCCATTCGGTTGAAAAGAACTTGACTTTGGTATAATCTAGATAGGCATCCAAGAGCTTAGTATCCAACTAACGGAATTCATCTTCAGTAATCCATGTAACATCGCTAGGTGGATGACCCTTTCACCGCACTGGAAACCTATGAAACCATCTTGTGAAGTAACAATCTGATCATCGAGCACCTCATTAATAATATACTGTAAAGAAAATGTCGTAGTAGGTGCCCGAGGGGGCAGACGAGGAGCCCGTCCTGGAAAATATCAGATCACAACATCGGAGGCTTGAACATGCCTTAATAAGGTTATAAATCTGCTATATTAAAAACATGACTAATATTTAAGTGCGATGGCAATTCGAGTAAATAAGCATTAGGTCCAAGCTCTGTAGCACGGACACTTCAATTAGGGTAGCGTGTCCGTGTTGGATACGAGTCGATATCGACACTTCACGAAAACTCTACCGTAATCATTTTTCGTTTTATATTAGAAATATTATATATTTACTTCTCGGACACTTTATCGTAATCATTTTTCTTTTTATATTAGAAATATTATATGTTGTTAATTCAAAATTATTAGCAAGTAACAAATAGGTTCTCATGTTTAAAAGATTTTAACAAGAAAAATTAATAAGTATAAAACTAAATTTATACTATATAAATGAAAATTTTTTAAGAATTTAATCAACGTGTCGCGTGTCGTGTTTGTACTTTTTTTAAAAATCGCGTGTTGGCATATCCGACACGTATCGTGTCGGACACACGTGTCCGTGTCGGTGCATCATACGTTCCAAGTCGTTTAATAATGGGAAAAGGTCCAAGTGATTAGCATAAAGTTTCGTAGCAGCACGTTTAGAAAATCGTTCAGATGCAAGTCGTATCATGACATAATCGCCAACATTAAATTCTTTATGCCTATGGTGTGAATCAGCCGCTAGTTTATAATGATCATTACTCACAAAATTTTATGTTTAATCTCATCGTGCGAGTCGCGAATGTGATCAGGAAAAGCTCAAGTAGTAATAGCGGAACAAAAGTCAGTAAGTAAAGGAATGAGATCAAGCGGTTGACGCGGAGAAAAACACTAAACGACCTCAAATGGGCTATGACCAGTAGACCCATTCACAAAATTATTGTACATGAACTTAGCAGCAGGCAATGTAAGATCCCAATTACCCGATTTATCTCCAACAAAGCAATGAAGTAGATTACCCAGGCTACGACTCATGACTTAAGTTTGACCATCGGTCTACGGGTGGAATGTAGAGGAAAACTTAAATGTCATCCTAAACAATTTTCACAGTGTCTTCCAAAAATAACAAACCAACTTAACATCACGATTAGACACAATAGTAACTGGAAGCCTATGGAGGCGGACCACTTCTTTAAAGAACAACTTCGCAACATGGGATGCTCCAGTAGACTTGGAACATGGTAAAAATTGGGTCATCTTAGAAAACATATCAACAACCACGAAAATGGAATCATGACCTCTTAACAATTTTGGATACCCCGAGGATGAAATCCATGCTAAGGTCACACCAAGGAGTACGAGGAATAGGAAGAGGTGTATACAGCCTAGTGATTTGACTTTGAGTCTTACCTAACTGACACACGATATTAAGAGATAACATGAGCAACATCTTTCTTAAGAGAAGGCCAATAAAATCAATCCTCGACTAGGGCGACAATTTTATCTCAACCAAAATGACGTGCATGTAATTCTCAGATAATAAAGTTATGAAGATAGGTTTGAGGCATGCATAATTTGGTGCCCTTGAAAAGATTGCAATCTTTAAGCAAGAATGCAACATGGTTACGGGAGGGATTATCTAAGAGTTCTTAAAAGATGGTGCCAAAGTTAGGCTGGGATAATCGTCCTTCAAGCGTTCAAATCCCACCAAAGCAATGCTCATAGAATGAAGCACTGTAGTGATACGACTAAGAGCATCAACTGCTTTGTTTTTTACTTAAGCTCGGTAGTGGAGAACAAAAGTGTACGCTTGAAGAAATTCGATTCACTTAACATGTTGCTTAGTTTAATGACGTTGTGAATGAAGGTAGCAAAGAGCCTGATGGTTAGAATAGCGCACAAACTTTTGAGACAGTAATATCGCCAGTGACAAAGAGATTGGACGACGACATAAAACTCTTTGTCATTGGTAGAATACTTGTGCCTGGCCTAATTTATATTTTAGCTAAAGTAAGCAACAGGGTGACCATCCTGACCTAAAACACCATAAATACCAACATCAGATGCATCATAGATGACCTTAAAAACCTTAGAAAGATTAGGGTGGCTTAAGATAGGGGGCTTAAATCAATTTTTGCTTAATGGCTAAGAATGCATTTTGGGCTAACGGGGTCCAACGAAAATCCCCCTTCCTCATACATACAATGATGGGTGAGGTGATAGAGCTAAAACCTTGAATGAATCTTCTATAGAATGAAGCTAACCCATGAAAGCTACGAACCTCAATCAAGGTTTTAGGTTCAGGCGAGTTGCAAATAATAGAGATTTTAGCTGGATGAACAGAAATACCCTGGACAGAAATGATGAACACTAAGAAGAGAACTCGGGACTGGAGGAATCACCAACTTTTAAGGTTAGCGTACAATTAGGCTGAATGGAGAGTAATGAATACTTGTCAAAGATGATCTAAGTGTGCCTTTTGTGACCGACTATATATTAAGATGTCATCGAAATATACCACAAGAAACTTTCCAATAAAAGGTCGCAAGACATAGGTCGTAACTCGCATGAAAGTGCTAGGTGCATTAGACTTCCCAAATGTATGACCAACCATTCATATAAACTATCTTGAGTTTTAAACGTCGTTTTCCATTCGTCCCCTGGTTTAATCTGAATTTGATGATAACCACTCCGTGGATCAGTTTTGGAGAGCCACAATGATCCTGCTAACTCATCTAACATATCCTCAAGGTGTGGAATGAAAAATCGATACTTAACGATGATTTTGTTGATGGCGTGACTATCAATACACATGTACTAAGAGCCATCTTTCGTGCGAGTAAAATTGGAAATGCACTAGGGTTAAAGCTAGGGCGAATAAAAACTTTATCGAGTAAAGCTTCAATTTGTGTATTGAGTTTAGGTCGTTCAGTAGAGTTCATTCTATAGTGGGGACGATTTGGCAATTGGGAACCAGGGACAATATCAATAGCATGTTGAATATCTCTCATAGGGAGAAACTCATCAGGTAGGTCGATCAGTTTAACATCACTAAACTCATCGAGTAAAGGAGTTACCTTGAGTGGGAAGTCGATGCGTGAATCAAAAGAGGATTGTGAACAAGCTTTAGCAACTAAGGCAAACATAAGCTTGGTGTCGTGACCTTTACGCTCAAAGCCTTTAAGGGACAACGGCTAAATCCGAGCTGCTGCAACACCCTTGGGTGTAGAGGTGGGTGTTGGTTTCATTGAGGGATTCGAGGGTTTGGTGGGAAAGAGACGAATAGATTTGTTGTTATGGAGAAACTCATAAGTGTTGTCATGTCCAAAGTGCTTAACATCATAGATATGAGCGACATCCATTGGTAAGACATCACAATATATTTCCTACGAAAAGTATGGACCCAACTTAAGGGGTACCAGACAACGATGAGTGACGGGTAAAGAAGACCGGTCAACCTACGCCACCTTAAAAGGTCGAGGGTGTGGCCTTCTTTTGAAGCCGAACTTGGCCACTGCGGACTTGGAAATGACAATTACAGTGTTGCCCCCATCAATTATCACCTTGCAAGATCAAGAGTTGTACGACATGTATGGAAGATAGAAGTTCGTTTCAACATCAATAGGAGTTGAGAGAATGCATTTATAATGGTGACGACTGCCGCATTCCCCTCATAGCACTCAAATTGGTCAAGATCCTCATCATAATAGTCAATAGGGTCGATTGTGGAACACTCATTTTCTGCGGCTAGAAGTAGAGGTTCTTGTTCAAGGGCAAGGGCACGATTGGGACATTGAGAGGCGATATGACCTCGAGCATGACATCTATGACATACAATTTGAGATGTAGGGCCTCGAGATGGTGCAGGGAAAGTTGGTTGACACCTAGAGGTGCTGCGAGGATTAGGAGTAGAGGAAGATCCAATAATCGAGCGGGTTTAGGTCGGCGCATGGCTAGTACTAGGAGTGCTGGTTGGAGGGGTTCGCGAAAGACGAGGGTCAGGAAAGGTGGAGGACCACGCTGTGAAAAGGAAGAACGAGAATATCTCTCGTGTTCGATGGCCTTGTAGAAAGCATGTTCTAATGAGTTAGGATTGGAGTTAGTGTTTGAGGTCAAAGTCTCAAGCCGTTAAGAAACTTGGTCATAGTGACATCCTCGGGTCCAGCAATGCTAGAGCATCATCAAAAACTGTGATATACCACCACTGTCACCTCCTGTAATGCACCACCACTACTACTGGCAGCCACTAGTTTTCACAACATCCCTCCCACCCCCACCATCTCGGGCACCATAGAGAGATAGATTGGAAAAAGGACTACATAACAGCCCCTCTAGCAACTATGTACCGCCACCATTGTACCCACACTAGCACCTCCACCTCCACCTCCAACCTTATTGTATCTGGAGAAGATGGTAGGAAGAAGATGGTGGTTGGAGGAAGACGATGGTTGAGAGAAGACAGTGGTCGGAAGAAGATGATGATTGGATCTATAGAGAGATAAAGTGTTGTTGTATGGAGAGAGATTTTTTTTTTTTTTTTAAGGAAAAGAATTGAAAGAATGGGAAAGAAGACGCATTTGGAATGAAGATATTTACTTGGGTGGGTATAGGTGAGGGGTGGGGTGGGGTGGGGTGGGGTGTTAGAGAGAGAAAGCATTTAACTAATAGAAATGGGAACAATGAACAATGCTAATATAATATATATTTTATATATAATAATAATTTATTTAGTACCTGATTTTTGANATAATTTATTTAGTACCTGATTGTTGAATAAAATTTTTAGTAATCTGATTTTTGATAATGAAATTTTAAATCCATGTTTTTGTGTTCCTTAACGACAAACTGACTGCAATTGATTTTATGTTTCACGTTTTTCCCTCCCCTTTTTTTTTTGTGGGGATTCAGAGATATCAAATAATATTTAAGAGTGGTGGAACATTGTTGCTTTTTTTTGGGGACTATAACTAGTAAGACGAATAAAGAGAGAACACGCTAGCTGCTATGATCTGGACGAGGATTTTGGTAGTTTTTGGTTGTAGGGATGATGGTTTTCTCATGGGGGGCGGGTAGTGGTGGCTGTTATTTGGCTGCTGCTGAAAACAATCTTTGTGTAACATATACGAGATAAATGTTTTGCTCAGAGGAGAGTGTCAAGCTCTGATACCAAAATGATGCCGATAATCAAGAACAAGAACAATTTAAGAAGAGGAGAGAATAGGAAGAGAGAAATGGGAGGAAGATTGTAAGTTTATTCAATATTAAAGTGGGTCTTGTTACAATCAACGAGCCTCTTTATATAGGTTCTAAATGATGACTAAGGAAAATTAGGGGCCTGTTCTCTTTTTGTTTCCGTTTTGTGTTTTGAGTTTTGAATTCATTTTGGATTTTGTATTTTGAGTGTCAATTTTAAGATTATTGAAAATGTGTTCTTTTTGACATTTTAAAAAATTGTTTTGAAAACACCCAAAACGCGTTTTGAAAATTTTGACTTGATTATAACTGAAAACACCCAAAACGACAAATTTGTCGTTTTGAGTTTTTTTTGTAAATTTTTAACTTGTTTTCAAAAATGCGTTTTCGAAAATAGGAAAGAGAACGCGTTTTCACCGTTTTGGAAAATCGAAAATAGAAAACGGCTTGAAAAGGGTAAAAAGAACATAGGATTTTGGATTTCCTTTTACAAAATCAATCTACCAAAATCAATCGAATGCAATAATGGAAAATACTATAAATGATTTTAGTTTCTTTTACGCCTTAAATAGACTCTCCAATATGCATCATATAGCCAGTGGTAGATTTTAAGGATCTAGTTGTTTTACATGTTCCAGCAGATACAACTATGAACAATGAACTGAATGGAGCGGTAAACAATAACTCACGTGGACAGCCCTAAATTTGTTAGGAAGAAGAGTTAGTTTTTTGTTGTTAGAGTTTCTTTAATTTATCTTGTATTTTCTCTTTGCAGAACAATATTCCTATCTTCTGCCCTGGCTTAACAGATGGTTCACTGGGTGATATGTTGTATTTCCACTCCTTCAAAAAGGAGCCTGGTCTAGTTATCGACATCGTGCAAGGTGAAAATCTTCACTGTCATCCTATGCTAATTTGTAACAATGTAGAATAATGGACACAATAGGTTTATAAACAGATATTAGGTCCATGAATGGTGAGGCGGTCCATGCTGGTCTCAGGAAGACTGGAATGGTAATTCTTGGAGGGGGGCTGCCCAAGCATCATATATGCAATGCAAATATGATGCGTAATGGTGCGGATTATGCTGTATTTATCAACACAGCACAAGAGTTTGATGGAAGTGATTCAGGTGCCCATCCCGACGAAGCTGTTTCCTGGGGTAAAATTCGTGGTTCTGCTAAGACAGTTAAGGTTGGACGTCATGTTTCTTCATCTTTCCAATTCATCAATGTGCTGTACAGTTTTTAATTTTGCTATTTTTTATTGATAAAACCAGGTGCACTGTGATGCAACTATTGCTTTCCCTCTCCTGGTAGCAGAAACATTTGCTGCCAAGGCAAAAAGCTCTGTTGAGGCCACTTCTCGAGTTAAATCTGGACCCCTGTAGTTCATAATCGTCGACTGATTTAGATAGATAAGAAGAAATTATTTTATAGCTAAAATTTTTTGCCAGACTATCTCGGGATCTTACTCATATTTGAAAGTGCTTTTTTTTTTTTTTTTTCTGATGGGGAAACAATGAGCATTGGGGTGATCTGTAACCCTGTTATCATATTGGAACTGATGCCTCATCTTTGAAAATCTTTCTATAGCGTTTCTTCAAGAGGAGATGAACTAGTGTTTTAGTAGTCGTTGATTTGGATTATACCGTATTTTTCGAGAGTCGCCTTTAATTTATAGATAGCGTTGTATTTTTCGATTTGATTTCATGACATGGGAAGTCTTTTACTGTTAATATATGTATGTATGTAATTTTTTTTTTTTTTGGAGCTGGGGGGTGGGGGGTGGCGTTGTCTATGTTGGATAAGTTGGCTTGGCTCTTGTGCTGTTTGTAATCATGTTTGTCAATAAAGTAAATATACATTTAGATAAATAAATTTTAATTTGATTTCAATGAGATAACTTTGTCTAATTCCGTTACTTGAACTAACGATGATTTAGTAGTTAATAAATGACGTTTACCATTTATCTCAATGAATTTTTACTTATTTCACCAAAGCAATTTATAGTTATGTTGATAATCATAATTTATTTACTGTCATGTCATAGATCATTGTTGGTTGAATTGGACTAAGTTTAATTGAAATCAAATTAAAGTGTGATTTCTCGATTGAAATTAAATTGAAGTGTAGTTGCTCGAGTGAACATAATTGAGCTAAAGTGAAGTATAACTTCCCAGAATTAAATCTATAAATTAATAGCCTTGGGACTGAGAATTTATTAAATTGGTGAATGTTAATAATTTATCGATTAATTAATAACTTATTAAATTATCAAGACGTCTCTGTTTTCTTAAATATTGTGTATTGTATTTAATTTCTTGTTTTATGAACTATCAATTCTAAGTAAAATTCATGAATTTACTTATTTTTCTAAAAAGTAGATCGTACATTGAATAACATTTTGTTGCACCATGAGAAAATCAAGTCAGAACTTCTTACAATTTTATGAAAAATTAGTGATGAGATCCAATGTGACGTCAATTTCAAGAAGAAACAAATAATAATTGAATCATATTTTAAGGTCTTGTAGTCAAAACATAAACACCAAGGGAAAATTATTAATTTGTATATTATGTGGAATCTATATGATTTTTTCTAAATAATGTATTATCATATAAATTTAATGAATTATTAGTTTAGCATATTATTTTCAAGTTCGCCCAATAACATTATCTAATCGAGATTGATTAATGGGGTATTAAATTATCGAGGTTCTACTGTACTTTTAAGTATAATATTTTTTATAAGTAAAAGAAACTTTTATTAATTCAAATCACTGCGAACTGCACATACAAGAGATACAACGCAGTAGTTGCTTCGATACCAATATGTTAGAGAACAAATTTAAAATGATAGGTTTTGTATGAGAATTAAAGAACAGTAATGTATTGATGTAATGGATGTTAAATACATAGTGAGAGAAAGTTACAAAATAGCCTCTTGAGAGGGCTATACTCTCCTACTTCATACTCTACTAACTCTCTGTTTTTGCCTGCCTACTCCAATCTATCTCCTCTCTATTTATAAATATTGCAGTAACAAAATTGCCCATCTAACTGAATTTGTTACTATAACTGCTTCTCAATTCTTCCAGGACCTTCTAGAGTAATTGAACTTGATTGGCGGCCTTTCAGGATGTTGCTCGACTTCTGCTTCTCCTCCCTCATGACTGGCAGCATCATCAACACCATCGTTCCCTACAACAACACCAACTTTGTGGTTGAGCAAGAGCAGGCTTTCCACATGAAATGAATCTTTACTACCCTGAATTGGAAGAGTAACCCATCCCTGTCCTATGAACAACACCAGCTTTCCGAAACCTGATACCATTAAAGCATTACTCTCATTTGTGCATAGTATCTAGTTGGAAATATTTGCTACATTTCTTAGTTGTCCGTGTCAGTAGGAGTTTGTTTTTAGTGGTTTTAGTTTGTTTTGGTTTTTACCTGGTCTATAGGAGTTAGTGGATACACTTCCTAGTTTCAAGCATTTATCCGTTGGTTTTTAGCTCTATAAATAGAGCAGCTTCTTCTTGAGTAATTGTATCAGATTTCAAAGCAATAAAAGTTCAGTCCTTTATTTCTCTTATTTTGTCTTTTCTTCCTCAATATACTTATCAGTGGTATCAGAGCCACACTTGGTGAGAGAGTGAAACACGTGAGGTCAAGAGTGCAAAAAAAAAAAAAAAGAGAGAGTGATATAGAGTTGGAGCTGTAGCTGTTTCACTTGGTTTCTCTTTTGCAGTAGCAGCAGTGAAGAGATATGGCCTCTGATAATTTTGTGCAGCCAGCTATTCCTCGCTTGGATGGTCACTATGACCATTGGAGTATGTTGATGGAAAACTTCTTAAGATCCAAAGAATATTGGCAGGTTGTCTCTGATGGAATAGCAGAACTAGCACCTGGCACAGTAGTAATGGATGCACAGAGAACAAAACTAGAAGGACAATGTTTGAAGGATCTCAAAGCGAAGCATTATCTTTTCCAAGCAATTGATCACTCAATCTTGGAAACCATTCTTTGCAAGGACACGTCCAAGCACAGCTGGGATTCCATGAAGAAGTGCCAAGGTTCTGCAAGGGCAAAGAGGCAACAGCTTCAAACACTTCGTTCGGAGTTCGCAACGCTACAGATGAAATTGGGAGGAACGGTCACATATTACTTTTCACGGATGATGGAAATCATCAATAAGATGAGGATCTACGGTAACAAAACGGAGGACGTCACTATAGTCGAGAAGATTCTTTAGTCCACGACACCAAAATTTAATTTTGTTTTCTGTTCTATCGAAGAAGCCAATGACATTGAGGAACTTTCAATTGACGAATTGCAAAGTTCCTTGCTAGTTCATGAACAAAAAATTAGCCAGCAGTAGAAAGAGGAGCAAGCATTAAAGGCTTCAATAGAAAATCACTCGACATCGAGAGGAGATAGAGGACGAGGCAAAGGCAAATGTAGATGCAGAGGAAATGATGATCGTAGAAATCAAGAACAATACCAACACCAAGACAATCAATTTCAAGGAAGAGGAAGAGAAAAAGGACGAGGAGGCCACCACTCGACTACATATAGATCGAGGTCAGCAGACAAGTCCAATGTGGAGTGCTACAGATGTCGTAGGTATGGCCACTACAAGTCTGAATGCCGAACTAACTTGAATAGACAACATGGAGAGATGTCTAATCTTGCAGAGAAAGAAGAAGTATCATTGTTAATGATTTGTCATACAAAGGAGGAAACCAACAAGAATTTGTGGTATTTAGACAGAGGTTGCAGCAATCATATGTGTGAGACAAGTCTTTATTCGCTTATTTGGATAAGTCATTTAACAATAATGTGAAGTTTGGTGACAACTCTAGAGTCTCAGTTATGGGAAAAGGAAGGGTGACAATCCAAACTAAGGGAGATTCTACTCAAACAATCTCTAATGTGCTTTTAATTCCAAACTTGAAGACAAATCTGCTTAGTGTGGGACAGTTGCAAGAAAAAGGATATGGGGTTTCTATCAAAGGCGGAGTTTGTCGAATTCAAGATGCAAAGTTGGGCTTAATTGCTCAAGTTAACATGATGGCAAATCGGATGTTCCCACTTTATCTTCACAACATCACTCATTCATGCTTCTCAGCAAAATTGGAGGATGCAGTATGGTATGGCATTTTCGCTATGGTCACCGAAACTTTGGTGGATTGAAGACTCTACAACAAAAAAATATGGTGATTGGTCTTCCTCAAATTACAGCTCCGTCTGAAGTTTGTGGAGAATGTGTTGTTAGTAAACAACACCATAATCAATTTCTGCAAGGAAAGTCATGGAGAGCGAAAAAGGCGTTGGAATTGGTTCATTCCAATCTTTGAGGGGCCAATAAATCCATCTTCCAATGGAGGTAAAAGATATTTAATCACCTTCATTGATGATTTCAGTCGAAAGACATGGGTGTATTTTTTGCAAGAAAAATCTAAAGCTTTTACTAAATTTAAAATTATAAAGTACTTGTTGAGAAAGAAGTTGGTAGCCCAATAAAAGTTCTTCGCACTGATCGTGGTGGAGAATTCAATTCACTTGAATTTGAAAATTTTTGTGAGACCCATGGAATCAAGAGGCAACTTACGGTAGCTTACATGCCTCAACAAAATGGAGCCTGTGAGTGAAAAAATCGTACTATTTTAAATATGGTGCGAAGTCTTTTGACGAGAAGCAACATTCCAAAAACTTTCTGGCCCGATGCAGTCAACTGGAACATTCATATTTTGAACAGAAGTCCCACACTCGTTGTTCAAAATATGACACCAGAAGAAGCATGGAGTGGATGGAGACCTGCTGTAGATCATTTCAGAATTTTTGGGTGTATTGTCTATGCACATGTTCCAGACCAGAAGAGGACAAAACTAGAAGACAAAGGAGAAAAAATTATTTTTCTTAGTGTTAGTGATCAATCAAAAGCTTATAAGCTTTACAATCCCATCACTAAGAAAATTGTTATTAGTTGTGATGTCATTTTTTATGAAGAAAGGTTCTGGCGATGGAACAACAATGTTGTTGAACAACAAATAGTGGCCAACTTTGATGGAGTCAACGAAGAGGAGAGGCAGGAACCAACATAAAATGATCAACAAAATCCACCAGATGGTCCAATAGATGTTCCAAGCTTGACAACATCTGTAACAAATTAAGAATGGCCCCAATGTGTTAGAATAAGGCCAGTATAGATGATTGATTATGAGATAACAAGAATTGACCAATCTGAGGACCCACTTACATATTTTGCTCTATTTTCGGATTTTGATCCTATAGTTTTCGAAGAAGCTGCCAAAGAATCCAAATGGCGAACAACAATGGACGAAGAAATTGCAGCCATTGAACGAAACAACACTTGGGAGTTGACTGAT